ATATCTGTGCCTGCAGTGCAAGGATGAGTTACATCTTCCTCTGACATGCGCTGAAGCTGCAATGTACAAGGGATTCTGTGGTACGTTTGTGATTTATTTTACCGTACATTAAAGAGGCTACTGCGGGTATCAAGTACTTACTTGAATACTTGAAATGGCTACTTGTTCACCGCTGTTTCATTTTTGGAGCCTAATTCTGTGGTGTGGCCGAAAACTGTGCAATCGAGTTCGGCCTTGGGCCCTCCTCATTCGCACTACGTCACACATTCAAGTTGGCGGATTGACCGAGCACGTCGATAGCCCATTGCGTCGATAGCACGTCGATAGCCCACTGCGACGTGTCGTGGACAAGGATTAATTTATTCGCTTTGTTCATCTGTTGTAGTCTCTCTTCGTTCAGCAGTTCAAGTAACATCAGTATAGTTACTGCAAAGGGTTTATAAATGTAGCAACGGCATGACGTTCCAGGCTGTGACACCATATTTCGTTTGGATTAGTTTAGAAAGTCAGCCTCTGCGTTCCAAGTTTTTCCTTTGGTGAACATAGGAACACTTAGGGCCATTTGTTTAATACTTTGGCTTCTCTTTTATATTGAGTTGGAAAAAAAGTTTTAAGCCGAGTGTATTATTTTTATTCCTGTCGCTTTCTTTACTGTGTGATAGCTTGTAAGATGCCAAACGAGAATAGTAAAGCGTTGCTTTAATAAATGATGCTGAATTTATTAATTGAGGTAGTAACCCCACCAGTCTATGGTTTATTTCATGTGTACATGTACAAAGCTATGCAAAAAGTCGGGGTTTGATTTTGTTAGTGGAACAGTCAGTCTTTAAACGTTTCGTTCTCGTTTCAGTTAGTACCCGCCAACGATTTGCTCCCAAGTCATCGACAGCCTTGCCAGTGAGTAGTTATTGCAGACACTTGCTACCACCAGGACGGTTCTGAGAGCCTCTGCTTACGCAGGAGGCTTTGACTTTTTTGATACATATATATTCACAAATTATGAGAATATCTGTGCATGTGATCACGTATGTATGCTTCGATTTAAACTGACATTGTTTTCTGGTTGCAGCGTCGACGCATCTGGGCGATAGCAACATGTATGTTCGCTTGAAAAAATGCCCAGCTTGTAGGAATTTCTGCGAACGACTGGATGGTTGCAATCATATGGTGTGCATCTGTGGTGTTGAGTTCTGTTACGTTTGCTCCGAGAAGTGGCGCGATTATACGTTCCATGCCAATTGTACCGAAGATGTTTTCGAGGTAATACATTCGTTATTCAGTCCTGCTTTGCACTAGCTTGTTTGATATTAATTAACAAGGGAGTACGCCTGAATTTTTTAAGCAGCTCGGGGAGAAGGGTAGAGTCGGAGGTACATTTTATTCTTAAGCAAATTAAAGTTTGCTACAGCAGCAGGGGTGTGAGTTGGATTACTGCTGCTTCATCTTCGTGTTTAATGAGTAAAATTATTTTGCCTTCAAAAATGTTAATGGCAACAAAAGGACAGTTTATAAATTCAAAGTTACTGCAAAAGTGGAGGTAAATTTGCCCTCTTGTTCGATCAGCACCGTTTCTGCCTTCCTTAGTTGCAGCTGTAACATAACGGCCTGTGTCTGCGCG